GGTGGTGGAGAATGACAAAGCCAAGATCCTGTGGGACTTCCAGATCCAGACAGACAAAATGGTAATGGCGAACCAACTGGACATTGTGGTGGTGGATAAACAACAGAGGAAAGCAGTTGTGGTGGATGTAGCAATACCAAGTGACTACATCAGGAAAAAGGAGCATGAGAAACTGGAGAAATACCAGGGCCTCAGAGAGGAACTGGAAAAGGCCTGGAAGGTGAAGACCACAGTGGTGCCTGTGGTCATCGGGGCCCTCGGGGCAGTCACCCCCAAATTGGAGCAGTGGCTCAAACAGATCCCAGGAACAACATCAGACATCTCAGTCCAGAAATGTGCAGTTCTAGGCACAGCCAAGATACTGCGCAGAACCCTCAAGCTCCCAGGCCTCTGGTAGAGGACCCGAGCTCAGAGGATGAAAGAGAGACCACCCGCGGAGGGTGAGAGGGGAATTTTTATATATATATATATATTTTTTTAACTTTATAATCATGCTAGTAACAAAAAATCCCAATAGATTCATTTAAAGTTCACGTTATAATGAGAGAAATATGGGAATATTTTTGCAGGTCATACTACATTCAGACTTTTTGTCTAATTCAATTAGTCCATTAATAAGTTCATTAAGTAAAAAAGGATGCCATTATGATTTTTATTTCCAAAGCATCATCTTGAATGATTTTCAAGATTGTATATATTTCAGACACTGCTTCAGTTCACTTGTCAATAGAGACTGATAATAACTCAAACACATATTTCTTCTATTTGCAACCTCATCACTCCTATCGCCTGACAGCATAGCTCTTTTCCTCTAATCTGAAATTCCAGGGATTAAATGGGCGGCCAACTCTCCATCCATAATTCCTCCATCCCCTCCCCCTTTTTCTCCCGCAGATTTACACATACACTGATTCAAACACACACGCCCTCTGAGTTGTGCCAGACTAGTCATTTTTAGAGCATAAATATGATGTTGGAGAGGTAGTGAGGGGACGATGGATGAGATGAATTAGATTTAGTTGAACCAAATTCAAGAAATGATCTGTGAAGATAAACAAGAGCTTGTGTAAGTGTGTGTCTGTAAGAGAGGCAGAGAGAGAGAGAGACAGGGAGGGAGAGAGAAAAATGGTCAAGTCCTGCAATCACAGCCAGAGTCTGGCAGGAGCAGCATGTTTCAGCCCAGATATGACCCAGTGTTCCTGACCCACCCCGTCAATCTCTCTCATCCTGCTTTCTATACCGTCACACCAAACGTTTTAAAGCTGAGGAGTTTAGGATTTAGCGTGGCATCACACACCTGCTTTACGTCTCGGCGGACCAATAGGATCCGGGACACGTGAACTGAGAGGAGTCGCCTTCAGTCACAGCAGTGTAGTCGGACACACTTTCTTTCCTCTTGAAAGGAGCTGCCCCCTCTCGACGTGGGATGCACTGGATCAAGCATGGATTTTACACTTTTATGTGACTTTTGAGAAAAAGAGAGGGGTAAAGGAAGAAGAGGAGAAGAAGCCTTGGATAAGTGTTGCGACCACCAAGGAAGAAAGGGTGGAGGTGGGAGGAGGCAGGTGGGGAGGGTGATGGGAAACGTCAACAAGACTTCTAACAAGGACAGTAACAGGAAAAAGGTAAGTATGCATCAGCATGAAATTATATAAAGAAACAGTTTCACATCTGGTTAGATTTTGTCAATCAGAAACAAGATTTTGTGTCACAGATTAATACATAGCATTGCACAACAGTGAGGACAATCATGCATGGTTTTCAAGTTGTTTTTTTAGTGAATATCTGCAGAACATAGTGGGTGTTTGCATCCAGCTCCTTTCAGTCAGTACTTTTCAGAACCATCCTTTGGAGCTTTGCAGCTGCATGTCTTTTGGATTGTTTTCCCTCTAGGATTTCACATCAGACTGAAAGTTTTCCTAGTCTTCCTTCTGGTATATTGATTTCAGATGAGTCATTTGACTTAGTCCTTCTAAAACACTGATTGAAACCAGGCCATCCTTTGTAACAACCCTAATGTAGGTTTAAGGTCGTTGACTTGTTTGAAAATGAACTTCTGAACCAGTCTCAAGTCATTTCCAACCTCTAGCACGTTTTCTTCCTGCTTTCACCAGCTTTCTTGTCTCTACAGAAGAAAGGCATGCCCACAACATAACTCCACCACCACCATGTGTCACAATGGGAATGGGGTGTTCAGTGGTAGTTTTCCTCTTTATGCATAATTTTCTATGTAGATGAAAAAGATTTTTATTAATATGTATATATATTTTATCTGATCAGGGCATTTTTTGTCGTAATTTCATTGTGTCCTTGTTCAATATTCAGATTTTAAAATGTTTTCTACAGGCACAGTAGTACAGGTAGACTCTGTCTGCTGATTAGATGAATGAATGAAAGAAATTGGTTGGATATGGTTTTATTTAGTTAGGGATATTAGAAAAACGGTGTCTCGTAGTGTGGAAAAATTGAAAACCATATATGATTTTACTTGTTCAAAATAAACAAAGATTTAGTTCCATGTGCCATCTGTGTTGGTCTATCACACAAAATCCCAGTAAAATATTTGGAAGTTTGTTATTTTTTGTAAAAAATAAAAAAAAGAAAAATTGGCTTGAACGATCCATTCTGATTGATTTACATACAAGACACTATATCAAAGCAAGATTGAACAGGCAAAACATTTGACAGTTTTAAAGTTATTTGTTGTCCTGTAGAATAAACAAAAATTTGTAAATAAATAAATGGCATCTTATTTTCTGAAGATAATATAATGTTAATCCAACTGGTTTCTTTTGTCCAAGGGGGCTCCGTCCGTACAGCAAAGTGACACAGCGTTAGCCACGGCCATGCTAGGTTCCCTGGGTGGTGCTGGGGAGGTGGACACAGAGGAGGAGGAGGATGAGGAGGAAGGAGGGAGCAGGCGGGAATTTGATGACCCGCTGTGCACTCTGGTTAAGAACTGCAACATGCTGCACAACATAGTGGGGCCAGCTTGTATCTTCCTCAGACAGGGCTTCGCTCAAAGCCAACTTGTATGTATGATGCTCACCTACACGAGAGTTTACACCCACTCAGTCAGTCACAACTTCACAGCAAGCATCTCACTCGGATCCACTCTTTTGCGCTCTTTGACCAATACTGGACCAGGTCGAGTGAATGCAATCTGCTGAGTCATCTTTACAATTAAAATCACCATCATTACCCATCCATACCACTTCAATGTTCATGTTTGTGCAAAACTGAGTATAAAAAATATTTTTTTGTTATGAAAGCATTAAAATCACTAGTAATGTCTCAGCTGTGTTTCATGTATGAGACATATGTAATTAAACATGGCTAGAAGTCTGGTACTGACTTAAATCAGATGGATGCCATACTTATATAAGAAAGAAAGCAGAGCACGGCGTTTAATGAAGCTGTAGGGTCTTGATATTTCTCTCCTGAGGTGAGAAATATTGGAGATGATTATGTAGCTATTTTACTATTTTAAAGCAGACCTTGATGTTGTGTTGAGTAAACTGTCAACACTTGCATATTACAGCAATGACCCTTCACGCAGTTAAAATAGACGTGTAACAATTGCAGCTGGTCTTCAAACAACACAATAATTGTGTTAGCACATCTTAAATTAATTTTTTTAACTTCACGCTGAACTTAAAAAATGTTTAAAATCCAATTTAAACAAATCCAGCTGTTTCTATCAGAAAAAAAATTAGTTAAAGTCATTGTTCAGTCGCATCACTTGGAAAAGATTGATGCATTTTTCTGACAATTTCAAAATTTCTTAGCAGTTTTAAGCAGCAGAAATGCCTGAATATCATGATTTGCACTTGCAAACAGAAACATACTTGGTAAAGTTGAGCAAGAAAACTGTTAAACATTTATTTTTTATTACACTAGCATAATGTCACAAATGCAAATTTGAGGGAAAGCATTCCACTTCAAGAGAGCCTTATTCTTTATAAAATTTCTGGCACTACATTTATTTGACTTTAAAATACCTTAAACATTTTTTTTGTAATTTTTTCTCTTTTTTTAAGGATTTCAAAGTGAAAATGATCTTTTAATGAGTAATTGGTCACTCCTTGTTGTTCTGGGGTAGGAATTGACAAAGAGGCAATTTTCTCTAAAATACAAAAGACAAAAGAAAGTTTTATTCCGGTAAAATATTCACAGCTATCTAGATTATTTCAGCACCACAGCTACTTGTGTAAACTTGCACATATCAACAGTCAGGGAAATAATTAAACACTTTTGAAACAACTTGAACTGTCACCATCAAAGCTGAATAAGGAGTAAGGTTTATGTTGCCGCCGCAATGAACAGGATGCTTAAATGAAGTAGATAAAAATCTGAGAAACTCTGTAAACTGCAATAATCACTTGGGTTCACCAAATCTCATGTCAGCAATTTACTCTGATGCTTTACCTCTTTACTTGTAGAGTCTGCTGTAAGATCTAAATGTGTGCTTAAAGATTGTGCATAAAATCCTTTGTGACAGATTTCACCCATGTTAAGATTTACGACAAACTTCCTTAACAAATACATTTCAACTGTTTTGCTGCTAGTGCAGGACAGGAACATACAGCTATTTTTATGTTATAAACTTTCTAAGTTGAACTGACTTAACCTTGTCAAATAAAAAAGGGTCCTAATCTTATTTGAATCCACGGGAGAAGGAAAGTAATGGAATCCCTAGACAGAGAACAGAGGGTTTTTAATCTTTTTTAATCTTTTCATGAAAATAAAATTGCAAACAGCATCTGCAAAACCTTTTTACTCTTGTCATTTTGGTGTGTAAAGCAAGGTCTGACTGTAGCTTCTGGGTTTTGTGCACAGTGTGGGAATTTCTTTCAGACGTAACCAGTGGATCAAGACTAGAGGAGGCCTGGTCCAAACATTACATCATCCATACAGTTACTGCAAACATGTTCATTTAGCCTTTTCAGGTGTATTGATCTGAAAACGAAAGTCGACCGTGCAGCAATTCAGCTGCAGATGAAAATAAGCTGCAGATAGGGAAATGATAAACCGATAAGCCTTCATGATTTGTAATACAATTTACGGCTGTAATCTCCCTGCTGCTGTAGTGTCCCCTGTTTTCTCTAATCCAAGCCTGTATTATTCCTGCTGCTGCTGATGTCATGACCTCGCAGAACAAGTAGTCAAGAGACTTATCCTACCATGACCTTCAACTCATGCCTCAAACCAAGGAAGTTGCAACTGGAGCTGTTCTTTTGTCATCCGTCCAACATTTTTTCTATTATTTAGTGTTAATAAATAATGGCATTGTGTTTGATTCTGCAATAATGTGGCTGAAATGTCTGAATTTCACAGAGTTCCCTTTTATTTTGAAATGCACACACAGAGGGAAAAAAAAAAAAAAAACTTTCATTAATACACTAAGAATGTCTGTGGTATACAATTCAGATATTTAACCTGGACCATATTTATGACATACTTTCTCCGCAGCTGGACGTAGAAAGTTTGTTTAGTCAGATCAAAAACCAAATAATCCTGTTGTAGAGTTTCGGCTCACACTGACAGATGGTGAAAGGAAAAAAGATGTTTGAAAGAATCTGGAGAGGTGAAAGGGTGACATTAAAACAGTGCTGTCAGTGATGTGAATGTTATGTCAGAGAGTAAGGTTAATGGACTCTTTTTTGTTTTTTTCTTTCGTTGTCTGTCTCCGACTCACACCAACACAGGACCGAGACCTACGGCCAGAGGAAATGGAAGGTACAGAAATATCAACAACTCCACTGCCAAACTTTCTGTTTGCTGAAGTCTGAACTTTATATTGCACAATTTAAAATCCTAACTTTGCACCTACTGAGCTGAATGTGAACAATGTTTTATTTTCGCAAAACATCTCAGTACATATTCACAAATTCACTTAGGTCCACCAATGTTAGGTTCTGAAAACAACATGAGTCTCAGGCCAGATACTTCAGCAAATGTCGTTTGCCATAATCTAAAAAAAATCAGCTCTGTTTCACACTCCTTTACAGCAGCAATAAATCTTTGACTTAGCAATTTCCTCTTTTTATCACTCAAATTGGTCTCTACCTGCAGAACTGCGTGAAGCCTTCAGAGAGTTTGACAAAGACAAAGATGGCTTCATCAGCTATAAGGACCTGGGAGAATGCATGAGGACTATGGGATACATGCCGACTGAAATGGAACTCATTGAGCTCAGCCAGCAGATCTGTGAGTCTTCAAAACACTAATGCAGTCGGTTTAAGATTTTGTCCACAAACATTAGAGTAAAGGTAAACAAAGTTAGACCCACTGCCATGGAGCTGTTGCCAAGACTAGCAGAATTTCTTCTTCTATGATTTCATGTAAAACATCACACAGTATTATATTATACTGTGTGTTATACTTTGTGCTAAAGAAAAGCAAGTAATATAATATTTTATTTCACAGGTGGGGGCAGAGTGGACTTTGAGGACTTTGTGGAACTGATGGGCCCCAAAATGCTTGCTGAGACTGCAGACATGATTGGAGTAAAAGAGTTAAGGGATGCCTTCAGAGAGGTTAGCAGCATATTATTAAACATTAAAGCTCTTTTTTTTTTCTTTTAATGTAATCTTTAATTTCAAAACTATTTCACTTTTAAGTTTGACTCGGACGGCGACGGTCAGATTAGCCTTGGGGAACTAAGGGAAGCTATGAAGAAACTGATGGGAGAACAGCTGAACCACCGGGAGATTGATGAGATCCTGCGAGACGTAGACCTCAATGGAGACGGACAGGTGGACTTTGAAGGTAAGTGGACCCATGCCTATTTACAGGTCAGTATTCAGAGATTCACAGATTTTTCTGTGACACCAAATTATTTCCAGAAAAACCCTTTTTGAGGATTTTCGATAGAAAAGGCAGCTTGAGAGGCTGAAATAACTGGGCACAATGCTACTAGACGTGCTATTGGCTGACATTTACAATCCAGGAGCACCAATTATTTTTCTTGACACTGACTGGCTCTTTCCCTAAGAGTGGAAATAGGGAAGACTGTAGATGTTAGCTTCAGCAGTAGTGCTTAGGCAGTTTTTATTGTTGATATGAATGAATGCTACAGTATATCTTGGTACACAGTCACATGTCATTTTGGAGGGGACTCAAATATTTGCTGACTTTAGCTATTCATGCAGTTCTGGCCTGTAACCTGCATGTAAAATGTCATAAGCTAAGTCAAGCTGTTCTAAATTTTCTCACTGATGTTGATCATCACTCTGACACAGCAGAAATATCACACATGGTCCACTGCGAAAAAGAAATCATTCACCGTTCAGTCCAACATGGTCAATTAGGAGGAAGGAAATTAACATGATCGTTACATCACAAAAGTAATCACCCTCTCCCTGATACAGCAGAATGATGTGAATTATACATCCTTCATTCTAATATACATACACTATTATGTGTACAATGTATTATGTGTATCAGAATCTATACACATACTGCACTGAGGGGAAAAAACCTGATGTTCCACTAAGTTATTTTGATTTCTTCAGATTTAAACCCACATTAGATGTGTTTATTGATATGCAAGTACATATGAAAAGATAAAGTCTGTGGGGCATGAAATGAAATACTGTATGGTTCTCGATTTTAGAAAGCAAATTGCAACCACAATTGTGGAAACTTTTTCGGTAACACTTTATTTGAAGGGGTGTGCATAAGACTGACATGACATCTGTCATGATCATGAAGAAGTCTTTATGAATGTTTATGACAGTTGTCATGAAGTGTCATTCGGTAAATTATGACACTTTTAATGAAAAGTTGCTCTAAAAGTTGCATTAAAAGTTCATAAAAATGCCAACTTTGCATTATTTTGTATGATAATTTCATGCAAAGTTGGCATTTTTATGAACTTTTAATGCAACTTTTAGAGCAACTTTGCATTAAAAGTGTCATTATTTACTGAATGACACTTCATGACAACTGTCATAAACATTCATACAGACTTCTTTATGATCATGACAGTGTTATGTCATGTTTATGACAGTGTCATGTCAGTCTTATGCACACCCCTTCAAATAAAGTGTTACCACTTTTTCTGCTAATGTGAGCACGCACTGCTGTGTTCTTGAGCAGCTGAATGTTTTCAGAGCATTGTTGACTCACTTTGATGAAATACAATAACAAAGTTTTTCACCTTTCCACAGAATTTGTGCGAATGATGTCTCGCTGAATCTCCTTCAAGCCTCGGTTTGCTGCACTGAAACTAACATGAATCAGACTGCGCACTGTTAAGTCTTCTCATATGTACAAAAATCTTGGTCTCTGTAATTTTTCACTTGCCTCTCAGGTAGACCCGTTAGTTTATTTATCCATTGTAAAAATGTATTACAGTATGTGCATAATTGCAGGTTGTAGATTAATGACTCCAATGCTTGTTAAAGAAAATAAAATCAAATGTGAAATGTATTAAATAATTTTTATGTAAATGTCTGACAATGTGACAACAAATGGCATTGGAAGTTTATTTAGACATATCAATATATTTTTCTGTTTATTTTTACAATTTGCCAGAAACAGTTGTGTACATTTTCAGATGAATATTTAACTTTAATCTCAAGGTAAATGTAACATTGAAATAAACGTGAACATGTATTATTTAAAGATTAATAAACATAACCTAATTATTGCCAGCCTGTTGTTTGATTTCAACACCAGAGGAAAAAGATTTTTTTGCGAAAACAAAGCAAACTAGCTTATATACAAATACCTCAATCAACAAATTCTTAGAAGATATTAAACTTTTACAATACTTAGAATATATTGTGCTTCCAAATAGCATAAAATATGCATAACAGCCTGTAATATCATTTTGAAGTCAAACTGAAAGGAGCTAACATGCAGGAATTTTTGTTAGTTGCTTCAAATTCGTCTTGGCATTCGTCTCAATTCCTCATTTGTTGATAACCAAAGGGAAATAATCCATTAATCTCAGGATTAGTAATCTCATTTCATTTGGGGTAAATGTTTCAAATGCGGGAGTTAAATCTATAAACTGAGCTCCATCTGAGTGTATAACGGAAAAAAGTGGCTTTGTTCAGGTGTTTGAGCTTCAGATGTCTGCAGGAGAATGACCATTGAAAAAGACAAAAATGAACTTTAGCTAAATGGCCAGTTATTTTAGACATACTGCTCATTTTTGACTATTACATCCCAAAAAAAAAACAAACAAAAAAAAAAAACAGTTGGATGTGATGCTTGCTGTCTTACAGGAAACTGAAGACACAATCAATAGCGTTTCCACAAGCAACACCTGGACATGGGTGGATGACAATAAATTATGTTTACCATGTCCATTGTATGACTGACTGTATAACAGTCAAGCTATTTGATTCCATTCATATTTGCCCATAAAGTTAAAAAGGCCAGGGGGGTAAAGAGTAAAACTATGATTCACAGGTGACCATGAAAAACAGCAAAATAAAGATTTTAAAACTCTAAACACCATTTTAAGGGTTTTTGTTACGACTCTTAAAATGGAACACTAGGAGGCACAGAGTAAAAGAGGCAATAAACTTTAGTCTCTAATTCCAAAACAATAGCAAATAAATGCCCCCTGGTGACTGAAAATAACAACAGTTCTCACTTCAAGATACACAAAAACACAATGCGTAAGCTCCCTGACTTGCTACAAACTGGAAAGAACCCCTACCAAGTTTCACATCCAAGTCAGAATACAAGGAAATAAAATAGCTCACCAAACAAGATTGTTTTACAGAATTGCTCTTGGTTGATAGGAATGATTTTAACAGTCAACCAAATTACAGTTGCCCAGGGGAAAGGGTGAGGCGCTGGATGACCAACACTTTTTTAGAGTCCACTGATGAGAAGGAAGTGTCTTCAGGTGTGCATCAAGGTGTGACAGCAGGCTTCAACCAAACAAAACAGAAGAAAGATGCAGTTCAGGACTAAACTCTCTTTTCAAATTTTTGACCCAGGCATCATTTCCCATTTCTTCTGATTCCAGTCAAACAGATTCTGCTGGTAATCTCTAAAGATCTTCAAATGTTCTAGGTTCACTGTATGACCAGTTACTATTTTTCTTTTCTATTTTTATGGTTAGATTTGGGTTTGTTCTCTTTGAGTGATGTAAAGCACTTTTAGTTATTCCTGCATTTGAAATACCGGAAGCTTAGCGACTTGTCATGCCTCATACAGATTCCCAGTAGCTTTCTATCCTCTTTGCAAAATCCATCAGATCTCCTCTCTCAGGGCATTTGCTTAGATCCGTTAGCAGGCAACGTTTTAAAGCCTGTGCAGTCTTACTGTAGTCGGAGCTGTAAGAAGCCATTGGTGGAGTTCCTCTCCAAACAGAAGGAAGGTGCCAGATCCAGGTGCTTGAATCATAGCTTACTACATCTGCAAGCTTTGTCGCCTTTATCTGAAGATCCCTCTGGATCATCACATTGAGCTGCTCTAGCAATGCCTTATCTCTTTTCTTTTGATCAGAAGCAGGCAAACCTGTCATGTGAACCTGAACAAAATGGCATAATGGCTTCTTGTCCTCAACTTTCACCCTTGTCAGAGCATTAAGTACCATCCTCAAGAACTCCTTTTCCACTGAGGCGTCCTTGGAAATATTGATTATTGTGATGTCACTTAGTGCCACAGCAAGACAAGCTACTTCTATGTCACGTTCGTGGCTGTGGTCGTCCTGGACTATCTTGTGGGCTTTCAGTCCCTCAGTGTCGATGAGCATGATGCAGTCACAGCCTATCTTGCTCTTTACATGTTTGCTGACAGTGATCATCTGCATGAATGCTCCCCTAGTGCACATTCCTTTGTCGACAGCAAACCTGGTCCCAAACATGGTGTTGAGGAGAGTTGACTTTCCTGAATTTTCTACTCCGATCACTGAAATGACTTTGACCTTACTATTAGATTGTATAAGGGAGTGAAGCTCAGTAAGAACAGCATTGATCCAAGTCAAGGGAATGTTTGCTGCATCTCCATCTACAAGCTCAAGAGGGACACCATCTAGCAGCATCTGAGCAGCAAACATGGGGAGCTGTTCCACCTTTCTCCTTAGATTGCTGAACTCTGGTACGTCGGCCATACATGTATATCGCTGCCCACACTCTCGAAAAAAATGTTTTATTTGTAAAGAGGAAATCGAAATTTGCTGGTCAACATCTGCTATTTTATCTGTTTCTTTTGGACACTTCATTTTTAGTGTCACGTATTGATTCAGTAGAGCTGACAGCTGGTGCCGGGACAGATCCTCCAGTGTCATTTCCAACCATTTCAGGAAATAGGAGCGGTGAACTTCAGAGGCACTCAACCCGTTGAGGAAGTTTGACATTGTGGTCGTCATCTCGAACCTTTGCTGCTTCTTTTTGAACTCTTTTTCTTCTCTTTCCAGGGTCTTATGGTATTCCTCAAGTTTTATTTTGCCAACTTTTCGTAGTCTCCAGTGTTCTGTTTGCACCCATGAAATTGCTTTCCAGATGTTTCCTTGAGTTGGCAGTTCTTCATCTTTGAACTCAGATATTTTGTCGATACGTGCAGTGATTTTTCTGGCGTTCTTCAGTGCACTTCGGCATTCATCGCTATCGTCATCGACGAGGATCTCACAACACCGAGCTCTTTCAGCCAGATTTTCCAGAGACACCTTTTTTGACTTTTTCCCAAGCATTTCAGAAACAGACTCCTGGAGGGGCCTGACTAACTCTGTTTCAGTTGTTTTTGTCTCACTTAAATTTGTTGTTTTTAAGTTTGGCTCAACTGTCAACATTTTTAATCTGAACGATTTCCCTCTTTTGCTACTGATCAAAATCAGTTTTGCTTGCACTTGTTTTCCTTGCAGATATTTAAAGTATTCAACCTCTGATTCTTCACAGAGGATGTAAACAACTGCAGACGACTGACAGAGGAATGTAAACTGCTTATCAAAGGACCTGATGTCCCCTCTGAGGTTGGCAACAGCCATTGGTTCACTGAACTTATCCACAGATCTGTTGCCACAAGGAAGGTACCAGCTGAATTCGACAAGCCCCTCTGAAATTCTTCGTGGCACATCTCCACACTCCAAAGCAGAATGGTAAAATATATCATGGTACTGCTCTGTGTTACTTAGCAGTTTGTTTAACATCTGAGACTTGGATAGGAAGTGCTTTCCCAGCCTGACAAATGATACCAGAGGCATTTCAGAGAACACAAGTCTTTCCTCACTGCCTGTTCCTCTGAATGCTTGCTGCAAGGGTGTGAAATTTCGGACAATTTCACGCATAGACCACAGCATCATGGTTAGCTCTCTTGTTTCAATGTTTGGCAGGAGGAGCGGGACCGCAAACTGGCATTGTACCATTTTACCAACCATATTCTGCTGAAGGAACTTGTCTGAGCAGAGAAACAGTCCAGCTATCAAATCTAGAGGGTTGATAGCATTCTTCTTGTCCATCTCCAGATCACTAGACACACATTTCACACTTCTAGCATTTGTGTCACACATTAAAAGTCTCCTTAGGAAGGCCTCAGTGAGGGATTCTGGTGTTTCGATGTTGATCTCTGATGTGTCATGCTGAATAATTTGGAGGATTTGGCTAATTTTTAGTTTGGTGTCATACTCGTCTTCAAGTCCAATCTTTGTCAATACTTCCCTGAGGCCAAGCTCTGTCAAACAAGATAAGAGCAACAAATTCATCACATTTACTCAATGGGTGAAAAACCTTAATATACATTTCTATCCAACACTGAAAAGCATTTCTACAACATTTAGCTGTCTTGGCTTGCACATTGAAATTTGTTAAAAAGTAGGAAATTGTTTCAGAAATTTGAATACTTTTTCAAGATCCTAAACTTCAGCAAGATTTCTTCTAACTGCAGAGGTTAAAGATAAAACAAATGAAATCACCTGTGTGCACAGAGATAGAAACTGGATCACTCGTCTTGTCATTCAGCAATGTTGAGACTGATATATTGTACTCTGTGTCTGACTCTAAGTCAGATAAGGTCTTGTGGCAGTCTTTTGTGTATATTACAAAAGACTCTTTATCTGGACTTGTGATGGTAATCAGGAATTGATGTTGGATTCCTTCCATGTTTTCTCCTTTGCTCCAAGTTAAAGACAGAGTCGTGGATTCTAAGCAAACTTTTGTCAAATCTCGAGGAGGTGGCACGGCTGCGAGAAGGAAGACAATGACAAAAGGTTTGTTAAAGCATTAAATTATGGGATTTAATAATGAACCCAATAAAAAATGCTTTTGCTTCATGACTTTTACCTGTAGACACACATGCTGTCACCCATTTACTTAACTTGCCACCTTCATCTTCTGTGGCCACACTGAAGAAATACTGCTCTCCAAGCTGAAGGTTGTTTATTTCCACTTTATTCAGGTCTTTGATAACTAACAAACCTTCTACCTCTGTTAAAGAGCTCCATTTAACTCTGAACTTCTTAGTTCCGCTTAGTTCCGGTGGTAATCCCCAAGTTAACGCAACAGAGTTTGGTTTCACTGTCAGGAACTTGATCTCACCAGGAGGGGGCACCACTGGCCAACAAGAAAAAGTAGACCAAGTTAGAATTTGCCACACATCACAGGACATCCTGATGTTATAAAACAAGATTTGGTTTGATGCGATACAGCAAATATCGTAGGAAAGAACCCACTCTAAAAACTCTCTGCATCCGCCTACAGAACACAGTTTCAGTGGTAACTCTTAAAGTAGACAAATTAAAGTATTTTGCAGCAGTAATTGAACAGATCTTTGCATGTTTTGTTTTTTTTCCATGAAGATGACAGTCACCGACAACACACTTTATCTAATTTAAATCACCTTCCAGTGTCAGTATGTTACATCATTTCCCACTAGGTGTTTCACGTTTCTGGATAAAGGTCAGTGACAGTTGTGTAACTAAGAGATTATAACATCATAAAAAAATAAACAAGCAATAAAACTGAATATAACATTAAGGACCTTTAAAATCTTTTTACCCTATTAGAAAGATGTGATCAAAGCAGATTTCATTCATAATTTGTGTCTCTGCTATTTATTAAGTTTAGAGTATTACTTTTGTTTGGGACTTATTTACACACACATTTTGTCCAAAACAGATATTTGACATCAAGGCAACATTCACAAAAAAAAAAGAAGAATCGAAAACTGTTAAACAACCTGTATCATGCTGCCCAAGGTCCTCACCAACATCCACCTGTTAGAAAAGAGTATTGTTAGTGAAGATCCACCAAAACAATGTTTTCCAATGTATTATCTCATGGTTACCTGAATCTCCTGTGAGGTGATGTCGTGTCTTTTGTGGTTTCCTTCCACACAAATGCTGCAAATGTGCATGTGATCAGTTATGCAGTAAAAATCTTTAGGCTTCTGATGCAGACAGCTTCTGTCTTGGATGTCACTGCCGATGTCTTTGATAATGTGTTTTTGCAACTGGGTGCCATGTTGACGGGCGTGGGGCTCACAGAAGAAGTCGTTGCAGGTCTGGCATATCTTCACAGCCGCATTTTGGTTGCAAATGTCACACATCAACTCCCCATGGCTGAGAGGAGTAAAGAAAAGCAGGTCATTACAAAATAAAGAACAGTTGGATTATATTTGTAAAGTGGAACCATCCCACAAATGAAGGCCTTTTCTAAGCCATCATAAACTCATCACAAATGCAAGTTTTATTTTGCAGGATCAGATCAAGGTCAGGATCCTTGATGGAGCCTGGGGAAAAAGTGTTTGAATGACAGCAACTTCAACACCTGGGTTGTATGTATCCTGAATTTGAGGAATAACTGGCCATGCTGGCTTTATGTGTATAGGTTACACCATTAAAATGCTGGTACTGTGCTAGCACTAGCAGCACTCAAAGCTTTTTCAACCCATATAATCTGATTAGAGCTCTCATTACAACTAGTAAAACTGTACCACACCAAATGGTTCCAATTGGTTTACTGTGATAAAATGTCCCCCCCCAAAAATTGAAGGAGCATTCATATCAACCTACACCATTATCCCTACTGGGGCCAGCAGGGGTCCTGGTGCCTATTTCCAGAGGTATACGGGCAAGAGGCAGGGTCACCCTGGACAGGGTGCTAGTTCATCACAGAGACAGACAGGACAAACAACCATAGATGCACACACCCACACCAATGGAGAATTTAGACCAATTAACCTGACAGTCATGTTTTTGGACTGTGGGAGGAAGCCAGAGTACCCAGAGAGAACCCACACATGCACAGGGAGAACATGCAAACTCCATGCAGAAAGACCCTGGGCTGGGAATTGAACCCAGAACCTTCTTGCTGCAAGGCAACAGCTCTACCAATTGCACCAGAAGTAGGTTTAATTGGTACTTAAGAAAATGTCAAACAAAAATCACATAAATATTTACTTCCCTAATCAATGAGTTCAACAGATATTGTAAATCTTTCAATATCGCATGTTATTGCATTGAACTTGGAGAAGGCTTTACCGATCATATAAAACTGTGTCACTGCTGCTTTGGGAATCCCTAGATTTAGACGATGAATAATCAGAGGTGTCAGATGAAGATATGGACTCAGGTGTTTTTGGATAGTACCGTCTAAGAGAGAGAGAAAAGAAAAGATGAAAACCGTTTATCAGTCAGTATTTGTTTAATTTTGTAACTAAATCATACAAGACACAATTAATGGACATTTACATATTTTGTGTCAATTGTTTTTTTGTTTTTTTTTAAATTATGCAACTTGTTTTACCTCCATCTATTAGAATATGTAGGCACATTAAAGTCAGTCCTAACCAACTTTGAGTGTGTTGTGTGAAATTCTTTTAGAAAAGTATTTTTCAACGGAAACTACTGAACATTTACAGATTACACAACAATCTATTTTTTTTAATTGCATCACACAATAATAAGATTGAGAACATAGCGTTTAAATAACCCTCTACTCTTTAAATACTGTTTTTAATGAATCATACCTGCGGATCATGTCATTGGGCGTTCTGTGCTCAGTTTTTAAGGCAGCATATACAGCAGACGGAGGGCTTTGCTCTAGAAATCTAAACGTCAAAATGCACAGATCAGAGCACATTGCTTTTACAATGTGTAGTACATTAGACACAGATGCAAACTAAACACACCTGAAAGCATGTTGAGAAGACACGATTCCAGGTTTTCCCCAGTATTTAGGAATGCCTCGTGATATTTCTCTGTGACAACAAAAAGAAATGGTGAAAAAGTTCAGCACGGAAAACTGAATGAATTAAAGATAAAGTGTTTTAGAAATAAAGATTTTGCTTACTTTTCATTTGCGAAGTTAAAAGGCATGTCCTTTGATAAGTCTGACTCTGTCTCAAAGAGAGAATAGTCATCTTCTGGTTTCTCTGACCTGAAAATGTCAAGTGTAAAAAATCACTGTATCATAACATCAAGCAGTGATCCTGCCAAATGTACACAGTTGGGAATTTTCAGAAGGTTTTCAGCAAATAAGACATGGTTGTATTTTTTTTATTTTTTTAAACTGAGTTAACCTATGTGGGAGCATTAAGTCCTGCATAAATAATTTGTAAATGTCAAGAAAAGGAAGAGAAGGAAAAATAAGGAGAGACTTCAGCGTTACTAGAAAAGGATGTAGTACTGATTAAATTTGCTCTGTGAACTTACTCTGTTTGTGTTGTTAACATTAATGAAGTGTCAGAGTAGAAAGCAGTCAGCTGATGTTTGTACTAAAATAGTTCAGTGACTGACACAAAAAAAAATCCTCAAAAAGCACCCAAATTCAAAAATTATTTAATAGATAGATAAATACATTAAGCACATTGAGGATAATTATACTAATTTGATATAGATGGTAAGTTTTCCCAGAAACTGCAAAAGTGTAAATCTGTTTACATTAGAATAATGGAAGTGTGGAGATTAAAAAAAATAATAATAACTTCAGTTATTAAAATGGAAAGACTGAGATAAGTGCAAACAGGGCATTTTCTCTCAACTCCCCCTGCAATGTGTTGTACATTAGACACAGATGTAAACTAAACATACCTGAATGCATGTCGAGACGACACGATTCCAGTTTTTCCCCAGTGTTTAGGAATGCCTCGTGATATTTCTCTGTGACAAGAAAAAGAAATGGTGAAAAAGTTCAGCACAGAAAACTGAATGAGTTGGAGATAAAGTGTTTTAGAAATAAAGATTTCGCTTACTTTTCATTTGAGAAGTTAAAAGGCATGTCCTTTGACAAGTCTGACTCTGTCTCATAGAGAGAATAGTCATCTTCTGGTTTCTCTGATCTGAAAATGCCAAGTGTAAAAATTCACTCTATCATACTGCTACGTGAACACAATTGGGGATTTTCAGAAAGTTTTGAGCAAAGAAGACATGGTTATATTTGTTCTTTTTAACTGAGTTAACCTGCGTTGGAGCATTAAGTCCTGCATAAATTGTGATTGGGACAAAATATGTGTAAGTGACAAGAAAAGGAAGAGCAGGAAAAATAAGGAGAGACTTCAGCATTACTAGAAAAGGATGTAGTACTGATTAAATGTGCTCTGTGAACTTACTCTGTTTTCATTATTCAAATTAATGAAGTAGAAAACTGTCGTTTGATGCCATTTTGTCCTGCTAACTCCTAAAGGTAGCATAAGAAATGGACCAGCTGTATTTTGGCATTAATAAATGGAATTCATATATTCAACCCACTGACTCTTCTTCAACTTCATAAATCAGAAATTACTTCAGTTGTTAAAATGGAAAGACTGAGATAAGTGTAAACATGGCATTTTCTCTCAACTCTTCCTGCAATGTGTTGTACTTTAGACACAGATGTAAACTAAACATACCTGAATGCATGTTGAGACGACACGATTCCAGGTTTTCCCCAGTATTTAGGAATGCCTCGTGATATTTCTCTGTGACAAGAAAAAGAAATGGTAAAAAAAAGTTCAGCACAGAGAAGAGCTAAAAGCTGAATGAATTAGAGATAAAGTGTTATGGAAATAAAGAGTTTGCTTACGTTTTATTTGAGAAGTTAAAAGGCATGTCCTTTGACAAGTCTGACTCCGTCTCATAGAGAGAACAGTCATCTTCTGGTTTCTCTGATCTGAAAATGGCATGTGTAAAAAAAAAATCACTGTATCATAACACCATCGAGCAGTGATCCTGCCAAATGTACACAGTTGGGCATTTTCAGAAAGTTTTCAGCAAAGAAGACATGGTTATATTTATTCTTCTTAATAACTGAGTTAACCTGTGTTGGAGCATTAGGCCTGTCCTGCATAAATTGTGGTTGGGACAAAATATGTGTAAATGTCAAACAGGGCATTTTCTCTCTAATGGTGATACGCTTTCAGTAATACTGGTGAGGAATTGCACTCAAAATGTTCATCATCTGTGTTCAATGTAATTATCCACCTATTTATTTCACTATATTCTGGCCTTTGCTTGCATGAGGTTGTCGTTTTTTTGTGTCATATGAAAAGCCAATATAAAGTAAGATTTTAAAAAGTACTGCAAAAATAGAGTAGGACGGCAGGCAGACTAATTTTAATATCTTTCATAGAAAAGTCTAGAAAGACTCAATAGCCGTGTGAAACTTGATGTCTTTTAGAAAGTATTTAAAAAATTTGTTCTGACGATTTGCATAATAGTTTTGTTGGTTAAAGTATTTCTCTGAATACATGCTATGAATGTGTGTGGCTCCATTTTTTTTTTTTTACCGTGCTCCTTTGAAAGTCAGTGGATGTTCAATAGATTGTTCAGACTTGGCCCGCAGAGATCCACTGCTCTCTGACTTTGTTTTCTTTAGTCTGAAATGCCTTTCACAAATATAAGAAAACATGATAATTTAACACACTGACACATACTGTACAGTGATGAGAAAAAGATGCAGTAGATGTTAAAAGATGTCACTTTGATAACTTTAATCTGTAAATGATCTGGGCCAAAACTTACAAACTCCCTCACAAATACTATCAAACTCTTCTCAAAACCTTAATCTGATTTATGAAACTGGCCAAATTAGTTATTTTCTTTTACTTCTTCTACAGGTGTCCCCGTGTCATCCTGAAGTAAGAGATGACACCATAAAATATGGAATCCGAAAGTTTTTTTTTTTGCTTGTCAAATGTCACCAATTTTGATTGAGGTTGCACATATGTTGTTTACAGGATTTTTTTTTTCTTCCACATAATATGTTTTAATTTATTTTCAGATACATAATGTCCTTTTGCAAATGAATTAACACAAAGCTTTAAACTTGTACAGCCGCTTGAAAGACACTTAAAGTGTGAATCAAACATAAACCAGGAGGTGCGCTTTTATTTTTGAAAGGAGCGTGTAAAGGAGGGCGCCGTAACTTGTGCCGTCGCGCACATTAAAATCGAGTGCAGGCCGGCTTTGCTGCCATTTCTGAAGAGGCGGCTAGCTTCACTTGACAGATGGGGGTTCCAATGCTGGCTGTCGGCTTCTATCTAACACTTCTGTTAATGCTGACAGTACAGTACTGTAGGAGCATTAATGATTTTATTTCAAATATTCATTACCTCAGTGAATCGCTGCTGTTCAACTATTTTTCCGTCTGTGAAAACCTGCCTTTTCCTGCCTGGGGTCCAATCAGAAACTGAGATTTTAAGTTAACTTCCGTTCCGTTGCAACCAAACTCTGTTGAGTTTGGAAGCACACGTGAGAGTACATGATATATGTTACAAAGTTTGATAGTATATGTAAGAGAGTTTGTAAGTTTTTACATATGGGGCCTCTCATATCCAACTGAACTCATTAGTTTTTATACAAATATAAAACTAAAATTAAAACAAACAAGTACACTCCAAAATGTAAGATCTGTAAAAGAATCTACAACCACAGAATTGCAGCATGCAGAACTTTAATTTCACTGTGATTTCTAGTCAGAGTTTGTAGCTGAAAGATGAATGTTGTAGAATTAAAGGTTTTTCTAGTATTCTGGGGACAACTTAAACACACCTTAAGGTGAAGAAAACAGCCATTAAACTCTTTTAAGGAGTCAGAGAAATAGACTGGACAGGAAAGACCATTAAAAAAAATAAATTTTTAGAGCCCGCATGGCAGATGAGAAATACAAAATACGTAAATGCATACTCCATCCAGGATTATAACAAATCTATGTAAAACAAAAAATAAAAAAAAGACGTAAGATCTTGGTGTTTTCTTACCGTGTGTCCATGAAAGTCAAAGGAGAGTCAATGGAGTGTTTAGACCTTGCACTCCAAGATCCTCCCGAGTTTGATGTTTTCAATCTAAAAATAGTTTTATTAGCCAAATTGCTGAGTGACACATACATTTTGCTACACATCCGGTTCTCATTACTTAAATATACAGTAAAGAAAGCTGCAGTAAGTAACTTTTAAAAAAGTATGTTTATTTCCATGTTTGTTCAAATTATTACTATCCTAAAAGTATAATGTGAGACAGATAATCTGCGAAGAAAACAAGCTCCTCTGCCTCCATCCTGTGGTCTTACAGCCATCTGCAGAAATGCACTGCTCCATCAGAAACAACCAATCGGAGTCAGGAGGAGGGGCTTAGTGCTGTCAATCATCTTGTGTATGTGCAGCTCTCACCCTCCACCTTTCTCTCTGCTATTCTATATATATTTTTCCATAAAGTTAGCATGGCCACTGCAGATAAATGGTAAGGTGTTTTTCTGCCACTGGCACATTGAGCACCACTTGCATAAGAATGATTGACAGCTCTAAGACCTTCCTCCTGACTCTGATTGTTTGTTTCTAACCAAGAGCAGAGCATTTCCCACAGATGGCAATAGTAGTATTGGGAACAGGTGGATGAGCTTCACAGATGATCTGTCTCATGTTAAATTGTCACATCATGGTGGAAGTTTTAACAAATAAATAGCTAATATTGCTTATAAAAGTTACTTATTGTAGCTTTAAGTTTGTTTTATATATCTCAGAATGTTTTGAGAGCACTATGGTTTGAAATGAGGAAATCCTTCTTACTTTTTGTCTTTGTCATTTAAGCCTGAAGACTTCCCTGTGTGCTCTTTTACAAGGAATGCAGCTGCAATATTTTTCACAGTTCCTCTGGGAAAAGTCATGAATTAAATCACGTTTGAGTAAATACAAAATATGAGATGAAAGTAAATAAACAAACGATCTGAAGTTCATTTCAAAGCTCACCACAGCTGAAGGCAACAATGAATGGAAACCATTTAATTTATACTGTATAAAAAAACTTAACGTCTTTTTTCTCACTAATTGACTTTGAGTCAGACTAAACTTTTCCTTTAATAACCCAGATATGATAAATTAATGCATTTATATATGCCAAAAGTCAAAATACCACAAGCGACCATTTGATTTTAACTTTTTAAGTTGACATATACACAGATAACGACTCAAGCAATTTGGGAAAACTAAATTATCAGCATGTTTCTGATTTGTGTCAAATATTTGAGTTAAATGGAGATACATCTGTGTATGTAGTTCACTGGCAGTCTTCCTTGTGTGATTTCATACAAAATAATAATAAATATATCAATAAATAAATAAAAAAAATAGCCAAGATATTAGAATTGTTGACCTTTACAAGTTTGGTTTATTTGTGGATGCAATTTCTAGATGCCTAAAAGGAACTTGTTCATCTGCTCAGAAAAGGCAGAATGCAATTGTTAATGTTCAGCTGCTTCACCATTCAGGAAGGAAACACGTTCTTTGTCCCTGAGAGAAAAAACCCTGTTTTCATATAACGTCTCAACCAAACACAAAAAATTATTTTTATGTACATTTCTGAGTACAAGCTTTCTTAAGAACAAAGAAGTCAGTTTCTAAGTCACTGGTCTTATGTCTCTAATTTGTGAGCACAAACCTTTCTCTGCTACACCAGATCTGTTCAAAGGAAAGAGACAAATTTCCATCTGCTGCGAGAACGTGTGGATGGATCCACCACTTGTGACAAAAGTCATAAAGTTTAAAGGCCAATCACATCAAATATACTTGTACCTCTGAATTCAATGAAAGTGATAAATAAAAATGTATTTTCAGACGATCTTTTTATGGTATTCTGACATTTGGCAAATTATTTTTTAATGAGATAATGAAAATATCTCATTTCAATTAAATGTCTTATAAAACATTTGATGAAATAAACAAAAAGTAAGAACCTGAAAAATTATGACGGTATCACTTTCTGTTGAAAGGATCAGAAAATGAAAGTATAGTTTTCCACTCTTACTTTTCAATGTTTTCCATGTTCACTTATTTGAATTTCCCTCCTTCCCACCTTTGAACCGAACAACCTCTGAAGCATTAGAGATTAGTGCCTGTAAATCTGCTGACAGTCATAGTCCCACGTTTCACAACCTATAAATAGAAGAGAAGAGAAAATCTCTAAGGAAAAAGGTTGCAAACTTTTCCTACTTGTAATGCTTTTGTCGGAAAAGTACAAAAGCATTACATTTGTACTTTTATCTACTCCTCTGTCTACAGTAGAGTAGCTAGAAGAGATGAAGTCAAATGTCTCTGTTGTGGCATTTTACTTCATAAGATATTTTGTAAACTACAGAGTGCAGCAAATACACTATACAGTATAGTGTATGTGGTACTGGGCAATATTCTATTTTTTTGTTAATGGGAATTCTATAGTTTGTTGATTAATGTATGTGCACCACAAACACTAAAGTCTTATTTCAAGATTGAACATTGACCATTGTTGCCCTTCACTTTATATAATGGTTGTTTTTCTTTTCCACTGTTACTTTTGTGTTGTTATGTATCCCACTCAAAAAGACCCCGGTAAAATAATTTACCTTCTCGAATCCCAGATAGAGAAGACATTGAATATACATGCGATAAATTGCCAAATGTTTTCTTCTAATAGTTGCTCAAAAGAGGACATGAGGGGGAAAAAAAACTTCTGTTGGAGAGAAGCCTATTGCTCAGTTGCTTGAAATTAACATTTTTGGCACTGAAGTGTTTCCAGGCACCCTTGGAATAAATGTCTCAATATCAGTGTTGTTCAATATTCTCAACATAACTATAAGAGAATCTACATTTTAAATGAAAACTTACCAACAGCAAATCCTCCTGGAGATCAAGACATCTCAGTGAGCTGACTGCTGGGAGAGCGTGTGGTTGAAGGAGGAAGACGGGAAAGGACTTTGGATTTTATTGTAGTCCTCGTAGTTTTACTGGAAAGATAACTAAGGTTATGTGTCTTGATGAGATAATTGCTGGAATGCCATATAATATTACACAACATGTGTGTCTGATTTAGTTTATTATTTAATCACTTCCTTGTTTATTCATATTCATATAGGTCTTGCCATATCGAGTTCATTTCCCTGAGTTCATTGTTGTCATTTAATAAAACACATTTAGGTTTGCAATGACTGGATCACACATTTCAAAAGAGAAAATATGCAAGAAATGATTGGAAAGGAGGAGACTTCGGATCAAGAATAGAGCTTACTGTCATCAGCAAGGAGAAAAAGTTGAGTAAAACATTATACAACCACATAATAGTACAGATATACTCTCAACAAAATTATTTTTTTATTCACACTATCAAGTTATCAGTAGCATAAATTCGTTTGGTATTAAAATATGTAGAAATTTATTCCGACAAGACGGACAATGAAAACGATTCAGTAATCAGTATTATCTGTAAGTATTTGTGTGAATCTCAACAGTAAATTATGCTTTCCTCCACCAACATGTGCTTGGTGATTGTAACTAATATCACAAAAACTGATGCCTTTTATTTTTACTTTTGATTTGAAACAAAGACTGAAATCTAAGTGTTACTTCACTCTCCCACACAGAATTACTAGCAAGAAAAAAAATAGCTTACATCTTTTTGAATATATTTTCATTCAAATTTTGATTCAAAGCATGAAATCTTTCAAGCACACTTTAAAAAAATGGATAAAAATGTGTTCTATGAATCTTTTTCAGATGGAGTCAGAACAATGATCAAATCAACAATAAGAAGAAAAGAAAAAAACAGATCACCAGCAAGCTCCATTTTATAAATGAAATACCAGCACAAGTCCAAATATCCAAGTGAGACTGCAGAAAAAACTGGATGAAAAGAAAGGAAAATGTTTTCAAGAAGACCAAAAATGTGAATAATTACATTCTGTAAACTCTAATTGCTGTAGAAAAACCTTTCCACAGCATGATGATGCCACCACCGTGTCTCACTGTGGGGACGCTGTGCTCACAGCGTTTTCAGTTTTTCCTCACACATACCATTTTGAATGTAGATCAAAATTGCTGATTTTGGTCTGATCACAGTACGTTCATATACGTAATAAAGTGATTGAATGTCTTTTGGGAGCAAAGCTGCAAAGGAGAGTTACTTCTCACAGATCCAGAATTGTTCGATATTACAATTCTCATCATTCCAGTCGCCAACCCCTTTGCTACGGTGCCAGACCTCCACACAGTCCTGGTTCCTCCCTTGATGGCTGTTTGGCTGCCCTTGAGCCCAGAACCTAAATAATGCAGTGGCACAAAAGCACAATTAAATAAAGACTGTAATTTTTAATGTTAAATTTTCGATAGAAAACATCTCAAAGTTCCTTACGCTGAAGTCAGTGGTGTTCCATCAACCCATTTCCATTGCCCTTCCACTCCTCCGTCACTCAGACCGATCCACACCTCTTTGTCATTGTACAAGCTGTTGATGAAGTTCTAGGAGGACAAAAACAAGTCAGTTTCTGAAACACTATCCTGCTTATTATGCTGGGAGTAAACATTTCACAGAAGAAATTTCAGATTTGCTTAGAGTCGATTCCCCTGTGAAGGTGCTATCAACCGTCTCGCCACATCATGTTCACATGGATCTTAACGTAAAAATCAAAGTGCATTTTAAAACATTACGTTGGGTGTAGTCTATGAAGCTCATATGTTACCAATGAAGCAACCTCTTAAAGTACATTGCATAGGGATTAAGGATTAAAAGGTCACTTTTTGCCTCATCTCAAGATGAAATATATTTTTGAAGCGTAAGATGTTATGCGTCATTGCTTAAAATTGTTTGTCTTTACTCACCATTGAATTTCAAGATACATATGGACATTTGAAACCACTGAGACCTGCACCAAAAGTTTTACAACCATAATAAATGAGATTAAGTATACTATACATGGCTAAACTTTTAAAGGCTTCTCTGATATTTCAGATTTCCAATTCACTATTTGTATGTTTGTGTGTGTGTGCAACTCCAAAGTACTAATTAGATTTGTTAAGCTATTTTAAAAAAGACTTTTGACTTTGTTGACACTTTCATGATATATATTAGATGAACACACCATTTCATCTTTAGTGGTCACGATGGCCAGGTCTGCTCCCTTGCTGAGGCAGTCCTCTCTGCTTAGCGTCCAGGTTTTTTTGGTGGTAGAGGGAAAGTAGCAGCTATACTGGAACTTCCTCCATTCAGGAGGGCAATGTTTCTCTGTTACAAACAAACAACGAAGTCGAACATGTTCATTAGCTACCCAAACTGGGAAAGCTTCTCACAAGAAAGTGTTATTGAAATACTCTGAGATCACATATCTATGCACACTTTATTTAAAAAAAGGAAATCAAAATGCTAAAGGCTTCAGTAAAGAGCCTTCTTAGTATTTCCTCCACGTTACCTTGAAGAGTTGCATTCAGTTGGTCGATTCTCCCCTGCTCAGCAGTCAGGTTATCAACTTTTGCTCTCAGAAGGTCTCGCTCAGCGGTTATGTTCTTCAGGCTGCTCTGAAGTTCGCTTTTCTCCCTTTGCACCGATTGGTATGAACTCTGCAAGTCATTTTCTGCCTTTCTCAGCATTTTGTTTATGTCTTCCAGTGCTTTGATTTCGGTCGTGAGGTTCAGGTGGACGCCCGACAGCTTGTCTTTCTCACTCAAGGAGAAGTTGTATTTGTCATGTAGCTCTTCCATCTTATTGATCAAGTCACTGTAACTTACCTGGAGCTGATCTCTAGATCTGCTCACATTGTTAAATTTGTTCTGTAAATTGTTTCTTTCGTTAGTAACAGCGTCATAATTAGCCTGTAGTTCTTTGGAGTGTTTGGCAATTGCATTATATCTTGAATTTAAAGTGGTTTGGGCAGCGCTCAGTGCGTCTTTTTCTTTCTGCAGCCGGGCTGTACTGCCCCTCAGCTGTCCCAACTCATTGTTTAACGCAATTTTGTTGGCATCTGCCTCTCTTTGCTTGGCCTTAAGATCATTTCTCTCATTTGTTAGTTCTCTGTTATTGGAAAGCAGTATGTCTATTTGTCTGGACATGTAATTGATATTTCCCTGTTGCTGCTTCAAATTGGATTCTAGCTCTTTTTTTGCGACTTGCACCGTCTTCAGGTTTGCTTGAAGCTGCTCTTTGTTTTCGTTGAAGGATTTTAATGTGTCCAGATGGTCTTTTTTTACCTTTTGATCTGCTCCAAAGATAAAAAAAACAAAAACAAAAATGCAAGTCAGTTATTTAATATTTTTTTATGTCACACTGTGAATATTTGGGCAAATTTAGAAAAAGGACAACTCACTGTGAACACTCTGACCGATTAGCCATGCCGCCAGCACAACGCAGAGCAGTCCAAGGCCAATTGTAGCAAGCTTAAAGCTCTTGCTTCTCAGGGAATAAACTGGTTGACAGCAGGGAAAGCAGAAGCATAAACTTAAAATTCATGAAGTGATTTGAGGAAGTTGTGGTTTCTACTGAATTGTGAAAGTTTTTTTTTTTTTTTTTTTTGGAAAACAGCCTTTAAAATGAAACACCACAAAATCAATTAAAGTAATTCACATTTGAGTGAATTCAGATCCAAGGGGGGCTACGGTTGTTGATGTTGGATTATTTAGCTTTGCCTGTTGAAATAAATGCAAGATGGCAGCTTTCAGTTTCTTTTTGCAAAAGGAAAGGATGCAAGCTGAAGAAAAAAAAGCAAAGATATCGTTGTAGTTTTCGTTTCATGTTTGGTCAAAATAATCTGCAGCTTGGTGGATGTTTTGCTTTACAAAATTAATTTTTACAACACGGGGACAATTCAGAGCTTTAGCTGCATACAAATCCACAAATATTCCCAAAGCTACTTTTACAAATTTGCATTAATTTGCATTTACTGGTCCTCTACGTGCTCCTAAAAACAATTTTGCGCGTTATTAGAATATTAATAAGAATATCAATTTATGAGCAGTGAAAAGAATCTGCCATTATTTGGTAAGATAACATTGGTGATGTTAGCCATATCAGATATGTGTTAATGAGAAAAAGCTTGAGTAAAAGTTTGGACTGTGTCAGTACCTGAAAGAAGAAAATTTTTCCCATCAGAGGAAAAACTTTTGTAGGCAATTTCACTTCTGGTTATGTCCGTATCAGCTGTGTTTGAGGCTCGGTACTCCACACTCATCTTTCTGCACTACTGATGAGGTGAAACCTTAACAAGAAAATGTGACACTGTTAGATTCTGAAACAGAAGCTAAACTTTCATCAGTGTCACCACAAAAAAAACAACACAAATGTAAATAATTTCAACTTAAAATCTCACATTGTTATGGATTTCACCTTAAGCATGACAGCGAAGTTTATAATAGTAAATTTAAAGTGTTTGTGATGATCATTGAAACATTTCTTAAGAACTCATGATTTCATAGGTGTGTAAAAACTTACCTCTGTTGGATGAGAAGCTATCAAGCACGCTGGACAAGTCTGCTTTTTGTAGAAGCCATCAAATCTTATATGGCTTGCTTCTGGTGTCACCACTTGTGCAAGACTTATGAAAAACTGGGAGGAGGAGAAATGTGTACTTCCTTTATTAATAATGCTGGACCAATTGTTATTTGGTACCTTTAATTTTTAAGGATGCTCATAAGCAACTGTTAAAACCGGTAATAAAACCCTGTATTTTTATTTTCCAGTCATTAGGACACAACTTACGGCCAAACCCACAACAGGATTAAACAATGTGGTACACTGTTTTCCAAAGCCTGGATATTTACTAAAAGTAGATAGTTTCTGTCCTATTCTTTGTCAGTGAAATGTCTGCAGGAGTTTGTAAAAATTAAACAACTGAACTGAATAAAACTACAAGGTCAGCATTTAAAATTTATAAAATCTTTTTTTTTCCCTTGGGATAATATTTGGTTCATCTGAGGTGAAACCAGACAAACTTAAATGCTGCATTATTTGCATGTGATTGGCCTGTTTTATGCTCCTATGTTTGTCATTTGTTTGTTTCGTTTTAGTGCTGGGACTCGATTAAAACTTTTATTCAAGTTAATTGCAGGGTCTGAAATTAATTAACTGAAATCATCTGAATTTTAATTGAAAACCACGTGACAAAATAAACATTTATACTTCAAAAGCCCCTTTTGCTGTTAAATTATTGAATGCATACAACAGCTCAGCAACAGATATATTTGTTGTCTTTAATCGGTTAAGCAAGTTTTCATCAAATACCATATATCAACAAAATGATAATTTCCAATTGAAAAAGATAAAATCTATGTAATTAATTAATTGAAATGAAAGCAATAAAGTCTGTTTTGTTTTGATATTCCTACCGGTAAAGCTTTTATCAGAACAATTCACTTGAGTGAATTTTCTCATTTGTTTTATTCAGAATTTCTCCATGAACTGCAAATTAACAAAGGACAATAACCAATTACCCCACTTGTAACATTACCCAACACATTTTCTGTAAGTAGAGTCGGGTTTTAACTACAATTTACTCACGTAACCACAATCTTTCAAAACTTTTCTGTCTCACCGAGGAGCATGTTTGTCTATATTAGTACCATAACTGTAATTGCTGATGTAGGGATATTTTTTTGCTGACCAGGAAATGAGATTTTATCTGGTCTGCAAAAAGTCATGATGGCTTCCTGTGTTTCATGGGAGCAACTTGCACAATCTCATCTGTCAGCAAACCTGTTTCAACTCTTATTTCAAAGAATTCATATTTGGAATATTTTCTTCTGATGCGTCTTTTGTTTTAAAATAGACAGATAGATTTAGAAACTTTTAAATGGGGGTGGGCATGAAGAGAGCTGTTGGCATGGTAACAATGCTGAATCTCCTCAGTGAAGAATGAGGAGAATATCCACAAAAACACTTAAAAACTAAAGTGAACTTTGACTCCCATTACGTTAACAAAAAAACATGAATGTATTTACTCTCATTCTCCAAATGTGAATTAATTTTTCTCAAACTGATCCATTAGAATTTCCTTCCTAAAGTCAATTAAATTGAATGTCTTGAAATATTAATCTCAATCCTACATTTTAACAATATTTTTTTTTTTATTTAACTAGCTTAATTTTTCAACTATTGTTTGAGGCCCGGTGTTCTGCTACTTTGGGATGTAGCAGGACATTTAACACCCCTGAGAAACTAAGAAAACCAGAAAGGAAAACACAACTCTGGGGAAATTAAATCCAAAAGAGAAAAATAATGCATAGACTTCAGAACAGTCAGCAAGAAAAAGCCTGCATTTTAAATCATAGGGTTTGATCTCAGACCAAGTTAATTACAAAAGTATATACTGTGCTACTTGTTTATTCAGATTTTTCTGAAGTCACTTTCTTACCCTGATAATTGTTGTCACTGCTAGTTTGCCCTCTTGTGAACCTTTGCAGGCAGTACAAGTAGTAACTCAGACCTGCATCCTCCACTTCTTCTTGAAAATATATGAAAATTTACTCAAGAAGATTTTCAACAAATACACAACACTTCATTTCTCTTTCTTGTTGCTTGTACATTAAATGATATTTACTTTTTAGGTAACCTTTACATCAGTGTCCCTTCCTTAAAAAAAAAAAAAAAGTTGAATACATTGAGCTAAATTTATTGCTTCAATATGAGGCTGTGCCACAAGTGGAGGAGGATGTTCTGTTGCTATTCGTTGTCTTTCATTAAAGATGTGTGCTTTATATTGCAAGTTTTATCATCTGTAGAGGCAGATTTCCTCTGAATTGAGGAATCGGTTTGTGTTTTTTTCACACAGTAAAATAATTGAGCAAACTCTATCTGCTGTGATGACGCCCATCATTGGTTTGATGAGTTCATGCGCTTTTAATCTGGTCACAGATAAAATGACTCTAGTACAAAGACAAAATAATATTGGAACAGTTTTATCGCTGCCACATTCTTGTTCTTGTGTGTTGGAGACAAATTTACAGTAGAAAAAAGAGAGCTTAAATCATTACTGAAAAGCCCAAAATAAAGTTTAAATTAGAATATAAATGTTTAACTGTATACATTCAGTAATTACTTAAAAGATATCCCAGCACAAAAAATGATATCAACTCATTACAAAGTGGGTTTTTACAGGGGCAGGTGTGTACAATTTCCCAGTTTTGAAAATTAAAATAACTTTTTTGTTAATCACATCATATAAGCTGAGAGAAAACTTTGATTATTTTTACTTTTGAAACAGAAATTAATTGAAATCATGTGTAGAGGCAGTCCATGTCAAATTCTCACAATTTTATGCTTTTCTTTTTGCACAAATGATTCTTTTTATCCACCAAAAACTCAACTAAAAAGGAACCAAACCTGAAATGCAAATTGTTCAAAAATAAAGTGTGAAATAATAGCAGCAGGAACTGAATAAAGGCATTAAGGAGCGCACACAAACACCAACTGTCTCCGTGTTGGCTCGAGGCTTAAAACTGAGCCTCTCAAGATACTGTGTATACAGGGGCACATCAGAGGAAGACAGCGATTGTAATTCAGTCACTTTATTATAATTTCTGCTGAATTAAAATAGACTCTGGGAGCAGAAGGAGAGGTACTGGGAGGAGGCAGGACAACTGGCAGCTAATGACTCACTTCGACACACAGGATTCTCGAAAGGTCTGTTGGGATTAAAAAGAATCACTACACACAAGACAAGACCAAGCATGCCAAAAGTGACATGATTGTGGGATCAGTAGGGTTCTATATTTAACCACAATGACGTATTTTAGTTGTGATGCATTGAGTGATACAATCGTCTGCGCGGAGGAGGGTGGGAATGGGAGGCTAAAGTGAAAGTACTGAGACAAAATGTTAGAACGAACATGAGAATATTTCAAGATTTACCAAATTAAACTACATCAGTGGGGTGAAACCTATAAAACACAGCGATGAACACAAAACCAAGGCTGCATTTTGTTTTTCTGGTATTTAAATTACTGACTTTTCAGGAAATCATCAGTTTATTCTAAACTCCAGGTTGTTTGCTGGAAAATGTTATTTAAAGTCAAAAGGCTGTTCAATTAGGATGCATCAGGCAGCGAGAGAAAGCAGAACCACAAACACACCCACACACACTTTATCTCCACGTCTTATTTACTGGTTTCAGGAGAACATATACGTGGTATGAACACATGCTGCCTCCCACTCATTTTTCTCCTGTTTGTTAATTACTTAGATAAACCTGTTGAAGCTTTAAAAGTTTATTTTTCCAAATACAGCAACTGACTTCATTTTTCAGTCAAAAACTTGCAATTTTATTAACTATTTGTTTTGCAGAACAGTAAAGAAAAAAATTTAAATCTGTGCTACAGTTTTGGAATTGGCTGTGGACATCATCACTGTGTAGTCACGCTGACGATGAAAACATGAATAATCAGATTTACAAAGATCAGCATTAAGTGATTTTATAAAGCTATGAAGATGCCTCCTTTTAAAAAAAATGACCAATCCAACGAGGACTTGAATAACCATGGGGCTGCGCAGAAGCTAAGGAATGAATGGATAGGGAGTGAGAGGATATTACAAAAGCTCAGGTGGTTTATTAGATGAAGTCTTGTGAATTAAATTGTTCTCATTTGGAGGAGACGAGTTATTGGAACAGCTGGTATGCGGAGGATCAGTGAAACAAGATGAAGGACAAGTTCTGTAAAAGGCAGTAATTATTTACATGCTCTCCAGGCAGTTTGGACCGGTGTTGTTCGCTCCTGCGTGAAGGTTTTCCAGGCGATAATTGTCTGAAACAAGAACTGGCTTGTGGATCTGAAGGACAGCAAGGTGGAGGCCTGAGGTGATTCTCAGATTTCTGAGTCTAAGGCTGAAGAAAACAGAGTGAGTATTAAACAGGAGTCTACAACCAGAAAACTTCTCCTCTTATACAGTAAAACCATGAAGTGATACTCTGCAGAGAAGATGAGGAAACGCAGAAAACCATGAATTATTTTTTACTAAAATATAAGTAGCTGAAGTAGCTTAAAGCTGCTGTTATGGATTCCTGTTTTGCCATGCACATCGACACAATTAAAAACCATTAAAAAACATGCCATTTAAATTGTATTGAGATTAAATAACATTATTATTAAATTATTGCTTAGTACTTAAAGTTTTATAGCATTGGTCAATATCACTTCACATGTGGTGCCTGAGAATTGAAATGTCATGTGGACTTTTCATAAATACAGGGGCATTAGTACTGAATACAGTACAAAGTGCCAAGACACAAGTTTTCTTTAAAACACACACAACTCATTTTAAAACTCATGCCCATGACACCAGATCAAAGCTAGGCTATTGTATCAAAAACTTGAAATGTTTCTATACATTTATTCATTAATAAAGTCATGCTAAGTTCATATCACAAGGATTTTACAAACACACCATTTATGATGCTAAAATGCTTCATAACTGTAGCTAAAGTGAATCAAACTGCGTCATCTGTACTCTCTGGAAGCACACCGTATGTGCTGTATGTCGCATTCAAAGAAACGGATGCAAGATGAAAGAGGGGTAAAATACCTTTCTCTATCACAGTTTGGCTCTTGTAGG